CTCAAAAAAAGAAAGAAAGAAGATAAACAACCCAATAAAAAGATGGACAACAGACCTAAACAGAGAGTTCTCAAATGAAGAAATAAAAATGGCTAAGAAGCACCTTAAAAAGTGCTCAAAATCCTTAGTAATTAGAGAAATGCAAATCAAAATCACTTTAAAATTTCATCTTACCCCAGCCAGACTGGCTAAGATCAAGAGAACGGAAGACTCCAAATGCTGAAGAGAATGTGGAGAAAGAGGAACGCCATTCACTGATGGTGGGCACGCAAACTCCTGCAACCACTATGGAAAGCAGTGTAGAGAACCCTCAAAAAACTAAAAATGAACCTACCACAGGATCCAATGATACCACTCCTTGGCAAAGGAGTCCCAAAGGACTCATTGTACTGTAGAGATAACTGTACATCCACGTTTCTTGTTGCTCTCTTCACAATAGCTAAGAAATGGAAATAACCTAAATGTCCAACTGACGAATGGTTAATAAAAATGTGGTACATCTACCCAATGGAGTTCTACTCAGCAATAAGAAAAGATGAAATCTGCAGGTAAATGGATGGAGATAGAGTGTTATACTAAATGGAGTAACACAAATGCAGAAAAGCAAAAGACATATATTTTCCCTCATTTGTGGATTGTAGCACCAATCTCTTATATGTGAGTATATAAATTCTGATGTAACACCAGGAGCCAGGTAAAGGGAAAGGATTCATGAAAGTAAAGGAAAAGAAACAACCTAAAAGGGGAACAGTAGGGAACAGATGTTACCTGAGAGAAGTAGATAAAGTGGGAGTAATTGGCAGGGAGGAGAGGAGGGAGGGACATGCAAGAAACCATAGTGTGGGAGAGCGAGGGAAGTCAGGAAAGATGGCGGGAGTCAGGAGGTATTGGGGGGAGGGTGGGGATAATGGGGGGCACTGTGACTAGGAAAGGAGGGAAGAGGGAAGCCAGATGAGAGAGGAAAGAGTAGTGATTAATGAATCTTGAGGGGCTAGGAAACCTAGAGGGAAAAGTTATGCCCTAGAAACCCTATGAGAAATGCACATAGAGTGTCTGAACATTAACTTATATGTATACCTGGGAGATGCTTAGCAGGGAACGCAGTGCCAGATAGAAGAACCTCCCTTAGAGTGACAAGCGTGCCATATAGCACTCATCAAAGAAGATTCTTTTTGCAACTGATGGAGGCTACTGCAGAGTTGCACATCTGGTCAGGCACAGAGAACATACACCTGGGAGATGCCCAGAACTGGGTGAGATATCTGCAGTCAAATCTCTACAACTAAGTCTCATGGAACATAGAAGAATAAGGGGTAGATGGAGAGAGGGCTAATACACCCCTCAACTCTCACCAGTGAGGCTTCCATATACATCAGAGTGTGATGCACACAGAGGGCCACAACTGGCCAAGTTTTGAAGAATAAGAAACTGTAGTGTGTAGGATAGGACTCCTATATGGAACCTCACCCACCCATGGCTCAGGGACCATTGTGGAAGAGGAGGCAGAAAGATTGTAAGAGCCAGGGCTGGTTCATGAACACAGGGAGGTGGAGGCTTGCTTCCAGACCACTGGAGGCTTGCTCATGTGAGCCTGTGGTAGCTGTGGCATCAAGCATGGGACCCATGTCAGCTCAATTAAACAAGGGCCCAAATGGGAGGTAAGAAACAGGTGGCGGGTCAGCATTAGATTGAGAACTATTTGAGTCTGATTGCTGCTGGATAAGGGAGAGTATGACTTACATACAACCACTGGATGGGCTGACTAGACTCCAGTGGATGCATTTACAATGAAGGACATTTGGGCACAAATACCTGAATGACTAGGACTCAGCATGTATGGCAGAGTGCATAGGGTTTGGTGGGGGTATAGGGGGAGGCATGGATGGGGGAGGGGGTCTGGATTTGAGTGGGAAATGTATGAAATTTAAATAGCTCAATAAAAAAAGAAAGTATAGATGATAAATTAGATAGATGATAGATAGATAGATAGATAGATGATAGATAGATAGATAG